TCCAACCTCCCGCCCTCCTTCGGCTATCACCCCCCCCCCACACACACACACACACACAAACTAGCACAGGCCAACAAACTCTCCAAATCCTTCGGTAAACATTTAATGGCATTCATTTTTCAGCACTTCAACGCCACACCTAGCGATCCCCCCCCCCCCTCCTCCTCCTCCTTGATTCTCAGAACAAGATGCCCATCCTCTGGCTCAAAATAATGACAGCAACAGCCGTTTATACAGATCGTCTCAAGGTCGTTCCGGCTCTAGAGTTTTATTGATAGAACGTATACCGCGACATCCCGCGGCCATTTCTTGAAGTACGCAGCGTCGCATGACGTCGCGGTCGATTTCGCGCCTCCCTTTTATCCTCCAGAACATGACGTCAGAAACCGCCACACGTAGCGCCGTCGTCATGAGCACGGCCTTTCCCGACTCGGCCGACGAGGCTGCCCCCGATCGATTTTTTTTCCTGGAAGGGAGAGGGAAAAGAGGGAGCGCTCCGTGTGCGGCCCGGTGCCGCGCTTTTCTTTAAGGGGAGATGAGGAGGGAGGAAAGAGCGTAAAATGGAATCCTTGCGCAAGAATCGGGGAGAACAGTAGGGAAACAAGTGAAGTCTTGGGAAGGCGAGGGAGTGGATGATTGCGCAAAATCGGCGCTCGTTTGGGTTTCGACGCGACGTGCTCCCTCTGTCGGTCGGTGGGTTGAGTCATCCCGGGAGCGGCGACAATGTTGTCGTCATGGGCAGAATTTGGACACGTGGAGGGAGAGAGGGTGCTCTCCCGGTACAACGTACGCTGACACGTGACGCAACCGGGAGAAAAAAAAATAGGGGACGCGGCTTCGTGGAATGTGCATGGTGGCATTCAGTAATTTTCCCTTTAATAACCCCCGAAAGGAAGATCGTAGAAGTGGGCTTCTTCGGGACGTGCGATAATTGTTAACACAGGCGCGCACACAAAATTAGGGACAGAGGGGGCAGCTGCTACCTGTGTGCCAAGTCTGTTCATACCTTGTTTAGTAGGGCCTGTACGGTCATTGTTTAGAGTACGGGGTTATGACCGGAAAATTCTTTGTCGTTAATCATAGCCGAATACTCCTGGTATTACGCACCAAGAACGGTTTACGTCAAAGCTTTGTGCCTGGAAAGTCAAGAACTAAAAGCAGGCCGTCTGCAAGAGATAGTCATCCCTATATTTTGCATGCATTCACTGTGAAGCTTTCCTTTCAGACTTTTCTTTATTTCAGGGGGGGGGGGGGCAAGGGGGAGGTCTACGTCCTAACAGAGAGCCGTACACGCCTATGATGGTTAACAATAAGCAAATGTTGTTCTAGGGACAAAGACACTAGAAGACATAGTTATCACAAAGAAGTAGGAGCGAGGTTATCATGTTGCAGGAGGAGCAGTGTTCTGGCTAGGTACTTTGCACTATCTTTCCCCCATGTTTCTTATGATACTTACACGTACATTCATTTGTTTGCCTAACTTGAAATTTCCATATACCGTAATCTTTATTATTTTGATGTTACTATGTTTGCTCTTGGTTAAAGTTTTTTTGTGCACCCCACTCCCCTCTGTAAAGCTATGTGCGATTGGGGGTAAAAAAATAAATACAAATACAAAAATGAGTGGCGTTGTTTTGATCTTGAGTCAATGTAGCTGACGCTGGTGCTACGTCACGCTAATATGACGTCCCCGTTGCGTTGCGCTATTAAGGCAAACGCCTTAAATGCCCCATCTAACACGAAAAGTGACCGTTCGTGTCAACATAATTAATCACTAACTATTTTGACCATACGACGTCACAGGTCACCAAAACTTGTGACCTTTTGGTGACGTCACTTTGACTTCACGTAATATCATGATTCTTCGACATCGTCCCTTTGCTAAAGCTATGTGAAGTGCAGACAGCTTGCGATGCTTCCGATCTCGGGGGCGGTGCAAATTCTCGTGATAACGTGACTGGCGCTGCAGGCATGGCAGCACGTAAAAAAATGTAAAAAAAGAAGGGTCACACGCATTATTTATACATGCGAATCACTCTTGTGTTTGGGCACACTGTCATGGACTCATGTGACAAACAAGCGCAAAAACAACGTTGTATTCTCTTGGGCGACTTCAGTGGGGCGAGGGTTGTAGTACGCTGCCAGAAGCAACAATAGTACTGGTGAAGATTTGCAGTAGTGGTAGTGACAGCAGTAGCAGTAGCAGTTGCGGTGTAGTGGCAATATTAGTAGTGGTAGCAATACCAGTAGCAGCAGAGAATGAGAGCAGGAGAGAAACAACTTCGTTTCCAGTAGCAGCAGTGGTATTATCCTAAAGGCTTTTTAACCGCACTGACAGACACGGACAAAGAAAAGTGAGGAAGACTGGACTTGCGAAGTCGTTCTGCTAAGCTTTCCTTTGTCCGTTTCTTAGTGCAACTAAATAGTCTTTACGAAGAACGTAAACTACCTATCCTGTTTTGGTACTTTGAGAACTTCAGGGGTTCTCAAAGTGGCTTCCGCAGGCCCCTCCTCGTGGTTCTGCGAGTCACTGATAAATTTTGCCTGGTTTCGCACTTGCCCACTCCACTCACTTGGATGGCGATCCCGAGGTGTTATCGATCTAGGGAACCTCCATTATTCACGCCCGAGCGTCAACACGCGCATCTACTCGTAAGGGCGTAACAGATACGCGCGAGCTGCACAATAAGTCCCGCCAGCAGTTTGTAGCCAGCCAGACTCGGAAAATGGGACGCGTGGTGGCTTAAATGTCGGGGCCTTATATGGACTTTTATGGAAAGTTATGTCCCTAATGTTACTACCATGCGCATTTCGGCTATTTGAAGATAGGTGCCGCTAGCGTACGCAGAAAGTCAGAAGGTTTAAAAATAATTGTACAAGGAATTCCCCCCCCCCCCATTCCCGGAAGGAAGGGGAGGGCGAGGTTCCTTGGCACTTAATGTAACTTAGCAGGGTTCTCTGGCATCAGCGTGCTTGAGAATTTCTACTCTACTTCAATAGTAGTAGTAGTAGTAGTAGTAGTAGTAGTAGTAGTAGTAGTAGTAGTAGTAGTAGTAGCAGCAGTAGTAGTAGCAGAACTGGATGACAGCCACCGAAGCAGCAGATAACAATAAAAGAATAGAATAAAGATGACTAAGCTCTTCTCTAAATAAGAAAAAGTTATGCCTAATCAAGTGACGAAAAACTGCCTCTAAACCAACAAAAGTATACTGTGAAATGGTGAAGCGTAGACGGTGCGGCTCTTTGAACTACACACAGCAAGAAAAGTTTACGGAACACATGATCAGTGAGAACAAACGAATAAAAAGGAGCAATTGCCGCTTAGAAGGGGAACATAGCCCCCTTCCCCGTTAATAGCTCGGTGCGTAAAAGAGCTTGCGACCTGCCGAACTATTGATTAAATTATTAGCATCATACTTTAACAGAATTAGGTATTCAGGTTTTCTGGTGGGCAATTGTCCCATTGTCCTTTTGCCGTAAGGTGCGCGGTACTTGGCGGTTGAAGTAGTAGTAGGGCATGTTTTATTAATCCACGAAGCGCTCGAGTCCCCTAATAACTGTCCCAAGTTTCAAAGTCAACTCGATCCCTCTCCGCGGTGTTTCAGGGACGCCGAGCCAAGGGGTGAGAGTAGAGGAGAACGACATCTGTTCAAAAGGAGACAGGACGGAGGGTCGAAGCGCTCGTTTAGGTAAGGGCATCGTCTGGAACATTTAGGGAAAACGGGAGTTTGGATGAGGAGGAAAGGAACTCTGAGGAGCGAGGGACCGTCAGTCGGGGGAGAGAGGGATAGCCTGGCGCGCAAGCGTTGAGGGTGAAACGTGCTCCCGGCTGTCCCTCTCACCCAAACCAAAGGCGCTTTCCTCCTGAACACGTCTCCCGTTTTCTCCTCAAGGTCTAGACAGCGCCTTTCCACGGACGGAGGATTCCTTCTAGGTGGCGCTGCAGCTCCAGTGGGGGAAAGAGGGATCCCGGTTGGGGAGGAAAAGGAGAAGACGGTGCGCGATAAACTTCGGTTTCGAAATGGCGTCGGGGAGCATTTTCGCGGGCCCATGGGACCGGGAGGCACCCTGCTGGGAAAGAGCCGCGCGGCGCAGCGCTTGGCAAAGTAGGGAGACGATAGTGACGTAATAGCGCAGTCGGCAGAAATGCGGCTGCAGCAGCGCGCTTCGCAGTGACGGACTTCCCGGCGAGAAAGCAGGAAGAGACTGGCGCGCGCCGCGCCACGCGGCGAAAAGGGCGTGGCACTGCGCTTTCTATGTCAACGACGGTGCCGGGCCACGAAACGCTCTTTGGAGTGTCTTGGACTTCCGATAACCATACAAACGCACGCGCATATAGGTTGTAGAACGGGGGAGGATCCTCTCACGTGAGATCGGATCTGAATGAGTTGACTGCCAGCCTCACTTCGTATATCGCCCCGCCGCGGTGGTCTAGTGGCCAAGGTACTCGGCTTCTGACCCGCAGGTCGCCGGATCAAATCCCGGCTGCGGCGGCTGCATTTCCGATGGAGGCGGAAATGTTGTAGGCCCGTGAGCTCAGATTTGAGTGCACGTTAAAAAACCCCAGGTGGTCAAATTTTCCGGAGCCCTCCACTACGGCGTCTCTCATAATCATATGATGGTTTTGGGACGTTAAACCCCACATATCAATCAATCACTTCGTATATCAACGCCATATCTACTGTGGTGGCACTGCACGAAACTTGGTTACTTATCAAGCGCATGTTTACTACAATTATTATCGCCCTAAAAATGCTATCCTTGGTTCGTAAAATATGTTGCTATCTTATTCTTTGCTTCACCCTTTTGGCGAAACTGTGACGTTTTTTTTTCTCGAGCACCTGATGAATCTGAAAAAAGCGCGCTTGCATCAGCCGACTTTGAACCTTCGCACACGCACGTGAATTTTTTTCCTGCCTGCCAATAGCGTCAGTCGCTGAGACGCAGCGTTTGAGTGAGGTAGTGTGCAGTGCTCTCGCCAGTTTTTCTTTGCAAGGCAAATGACGGAGTCGCTGGCAGAGCGCTACCGCATCAAACTTTGCCAGAAACTGGGTGACAGCGAAGTGGAAATCATTCGGAAGATCAAGGCAGCTTTCGGTGACGAAGCTATGAGCCGCGCACAGATTAAGGAGTGGTACAACCGGTTTAAAGACGGCCGCACATTGGTAGAGAGCGAGCCATGCACCGGTCGGCCATCAACATGCCGAAATGACCAAGTCATTGCCGATGCGAACGCTATGGTGATGCTGGACCGCCGTGCAACTATCCGGGAAATGGCGAAAGAGGTGGTCATCAGCATTCTCTCTGCACATTCCCTTATGACCGAATATTTGTCCTTGAAGAGCGTTGCGGTGGAATTTGTGCCACAATTGCTCGCAATGGAGCAAAAGCAACTTCGTGTTGAAGTCTCACAGGACATGCTGTATTTCGCAAACAGTAACCATTATCAACACATTATGAACACCATTATCACTGGTTACGAGTCTTGGTTGTACGGCTATGACTTGGAAACCAAATGCCAATCGCCACAGGGGAAGCATTGCATGTCACCAAGACCAAAGAAGGCCCGCCAAGTGTGCAGCAACGTAAAAGTGATGCTCAGTGCTTTCCTTGACTCCCGCGGTTTGTTACACCATGAGTATGCATCACCGGGTTAAACAATCACCAGAGAGCATTACAGGGATGTCCTCCGTCGGGTATGTGATGTTGGGCGGAGCAAGAGCCACGAGTTGTACGTGGTCAAGGAGAAACTGGTGCACCCATCGCGACAACACTCCTGCACATTCCCCACACTTGGTTCAGACTTTTTTTTTTTTTTGGCGAAAAGTCAGACTACTGTGGTTCAACAAGCTTCTTACTCCCCTGATATGGCCCCGTGTGACTTGTGGCTTTTTCCCAACCTCAAGAGGACGTGACGATAGTTATAGCGCGAGAACAGAACGACGACACCGAGACAAAAAGGACACGAGCACTCAAGTGTAGTTCGTGTCCTTCGTGTTCTTCTTGTCTCGGTGTCGTCGTTCTGTTCTCGCGCTATAACTATCGTAATGTCATACCAACTAGCCCAAGCTGCCACACTCAAGAGGACACTGAAAGGAGAATGATTTCAGATGGGATGACAATATGGCTGCACCGACAGTAAAGCTAAACTCCGTTCCGAAAGAGGCCTTCTCAGAATGATTCCAACAATGGCAGCACCGCTTGGAGAAGTTTGTGGAGTCCCAACCACTTTGAGGGAGATCAGGTTTCCAACGCTCCAAATATGCCAGTTTTTTTTTCTATTCTTCCACCAAAGGTCGGATACTTTTCTAAGAGACCTCGTATACGCCTATACAGGGGCTCTGCCATATACCCGCGATCCCTAAAGTATGCAATGTGCTGAGCGTTTGAGCCCAACTTCAAACCCGTCGCCGTCCGAGACGCCTCAAACTTACCGAAGCAAAGGGTTGCCTTCATAACAAAAGAATACGACACGGGCTGCTCCAAAGAGTGCATGCTCATGTCTCAGTCCACCGGAGGCTGTACACAGTAAGCTCCATTGGGAATCGGGCTGGCATTGTTAGGAAAAAGGGAAACGATATATCCGTTTCAAATAAAAGTCGTAGTCTCCAAATTTTAGTGTCATTGACTTCACCACCATGGGTTGATTATTAAGCGGGAAGCGTGGTTGTTAGGTGGATTCTGTTTTCTTTGTTTTGTATTTTTCTCTTTTTTTTGTCAGATACTGCCCAAGTATATATTGTGCAGTTCTAGCAAATAAATCTTGTTGTAAGTCAGTGCCGCTGTCTGTCTCCTTCTTTCTCTTGTCCTTCGTTATTGGCGCTGTTTTTTATGTGAAACTCAGTTTCCGACGTTTCAATCTTTAACTTCCCGCAGAAATCTCGGATGGTGACGTCGCGGATTTCGACCACATTGACACACGGAAGTTTTTCTGAAACTTTGTATTTTCAGACTGTAGCTAACTCAGAATACAATGCACTTCATTTTTTATCAATTCAGAATCACTTAGGCTCGAGTAGCGATTGACTAAATTTATGATGTCGTGGCGAATGGCGCGTGAATTTCCTGATAGCGTCCCCAGTGTCTCACTACTGAAATTTTCTTCATTAGTGCTTCTTCTCGAATACCAAGAGTCTCCTCGCGGCGCGCGTGGCGCTATCGGTATCGAGAAAGAGTAATTTACTAAAACAAGAAAATTAGTTTTCAGTAAGCAGGCCTCTAATGAATTGGTTGAAATTGATGAATTGTACAATGAGGACTATTTTGTAGTTAATTTGACAGTCACGGGTTTATCAATAAAGGAGAAAAAATCAAGGTCAAGGCGTACTTTTAAAATTTCCCGCAAGCATCTCTACTGGTGACGTCACGCATTCCGAATTACGCGTTTGGTATTTTAGAGACATCGGCTGAACGAAGTTTCCTATAAGTCGTTGTTGTTTAGTATATTGCCCCCGCAGAGCAAAACGTACTTCATTTTTACTGGACAGGAACAACGTATGACCTAGCAGACGCCGTCAAAATTTGTGACATCGTGACATTTGCTGCGGGAATTTCAATGTGGGGTCGCCATCCACATCTTTATTCTTGCACGTTTTCTCGCTTGTTAAACGTGTTTTCCCGGTTACTGTGGAACATTGGAATTGGGAAAGAGTGATTCTTTAGCACGAGAAAAAATCGTTTCTTTTCTTTAGTGTCCCTTTAACGTTTGGGCCCTGCTCCAAAACTCATCTTCGAGCTACTTGGACGCGTCGAACTCTCCGAAGGAAAGGGTTTTTTCTTCACAGCAGAAGCAGACGACGCCAACTGCTGCAAAGAGCGGAAGCTCTCGAGTCAATCCGCCGTATGCCTTCGGTACGCTGTGCACCTTCCATTCAGAATCTGGCTGGCGTTGTTAAAGGCACAGGACCTGACCCGCGTACGTATACCTCGGCGCCGGGCAACCGAAAATAAAGCCCCGGGTGTAATCGGGTCACGCAAGCGCACCGCTGTCGGCTCGGTCGTCGGCTTTGGGCCGCGCTTCGACGGACAGGTCACCCGAGCGTGCGCCAGTCATCTAAGGGCTCTCTTTCAAAGAGTTATAAGCCAGAGATGGCCTGAGCGCGTCGCTGTATAAATTAGGACATGCCATTAGATGACTTATGCAATACTAACAAAAAAGGAGCTCTGGTCCTTGTTTTATCCGGTAACAGTCCCTTTTCTTTTTACTCATTGGCCAAATTGACAAAGAATAACATGCACGCACACTGAACAGATGGTTAACCAGCAAAATTGAATTGGAGGCTCGGGCGTTTGTCACTGGAATAATGACTGAGGCTCATCCTACTGTTTCTAAATCGTTGTTTGCGTCTATGAATAAATCTTGATTTGTGTTTTCCACCCGTGGGTTGCCTTCTTGATTTTAGGTGAACCAGCGGCGTGCGTCCGTGCGTCCGTGCGTCCGTGCGTGCGTGCGTGTGTGTGTGTGTGTGTGTGTGTGTGTGTGTGTGTGTGTGTGTGTGTGTGTGTGTGTGTGTAAAGTACATTTCACATCCCACACTCATTGAGTCAAGCTTCGTTTTGCCGAGTTCCGCTGTTATTTTACTGTTCATTTGCAAACAAATTTATTTTCCCTGACAGTCATTCCTTAACACACGTGACGCCGTACACACGTGGCTCAACCAACCGTGAGACCACGGCGCCCAGACGGGGCGGGGCGCCAGTGGTCGCCACTAAGAACTCACCATATACAGCAGCCGCGTAATGTGGCGGCGCCTGTATAACGGATGAAGCCGGTCGGGCCAGAACAAAGGCGGGCCTTGTTTATGCCGCATTGTGTGAGAAGAGAAGTTGACGCGATATGTACCACAGTTGGAGCGAGCTTTGTGTATGCGAACGGCATCTGATGAGTGACCATTCCGTGGAAGAAAGAAATAACGGTGCGCGGAAGACAATACATAGAAAAGGAGAAAACAAAACAAAACATCAGCAGGAGCCTGAGAGAATAACTTACGACTAGATGCGTGTACATCAGGCGTAAGTACAGCCGTCGGTGGAAATAATGCGAGAGGCGGGGGGGGGGGGGAACAGGTTTTTTTTTCACCGTTTCTTCTTGGCTTCCTCTTTCACTGTTTCCTCTCTTTTGCCGAAGAGCTTACGCCTCCGCTTACACGCTTCTCGTGATGTTTCTAGAAGGAGTTGTATAGCGGTTGGCTTGTCTCGTTTTATGACGTCACTTCCTTCAAGGCGTTCGCTTTGTGTAGCGTTTCGAAGACAATCGGAACGAGAGACGAATTAGAGGTGACCCTATAGTAATTTACACACCCAATGTGTACACTCGCACAATAGCAGGACTATAGCTTTGGCTAACTATTGGTCATCGTTAGCCATTCACTGTTACGACTTTATTTTCGATCTATCTGAAGACGATGGATAGAATTTTGTTAGAAACTGTTTTCTCTTTAACAATTTGTCACGCCAGTAACATCCCTTCGCAGGTCTCGATAGACTGTAATTTCGTTAAAAGACGTCGAAAAGTTTATGAAACCTGTCGTCGTCTAGGTGTGCTCTTCTGCCCTCTCTGTTTTAAAAGGGTCAGCTTTCTTCGAAGTCATGATGTAATTATTCTGGCTTCAGTATACTGGCCATGAAAGTGTGCAAGAAGAAACGTCAACATATCTGCCCCCCCCCCTTTTTTTTTTTCAAGAATGTATCCAATCAGCGGGAGCTCCAGAAATTTTTAAGGCCCGCTTTATGTGGTGATTGTTTCTTCTGTGTTTTGTTTCTCTCTTTTTTTTTTGCAGTTTGTCGACAGTTTTCAGCAGAAGTCTGTTGAAACCATGCAGAAATCTACGTTTAAACCACGCCTATAGGACTGTGCAGTCGGGCTTCGGAATCCCTTCAGCATTAGGAAGTTCTGCTTTTTTTTTTTTTTGACAGAATGTCATTTGTGCGGAGGAAAAAAAAGTAACGAGTCAATAACTAGTCTGCGTAAGTTCCCAGTATTCAATTTCAAAGAAAATCCTAATATTCCTATCGCTTCCTGGTTTGCAGGGGCTTCTGCTGTCAATTTTCCGCCAATGTGGGTAATAAATTTGTCTAGTGCAAAAAAAAAAAACGAAGAAGTGGATGGGCTATAGCTTATTCAATAGGCCACAACCACGCAAGAAGGTTAATGAGGCATTCACCGATTATCTCAGTGACAACAGATCATGTTGCCATTCTAGCACTGACTCTTTTGACAAGGATCTACTTTTCTCTTGGCGTTCCTCCTCATCTTTCTTCTCCAATCCCTCTGCCCTTAGAGCAGGGCAGCAAGCCTGATGCTACAATTCAGGTTAACCACCCTGCCTTTCTCTCGACTTTTTCTATCTATCTCGTCTAGTACAAGCTAATGAGCTCACATAACATATACACGCAGACTTAAGCCCGTATTCACAAACGTTCCTCGACTCAAACTCAAGCTCAAGGAATCCTTGGGACTTTTCCCGTTGCGAAAACCGCAATGCGAAAGAGCCCTCAAGGATGCCTTGAAGTCAAGTTTGAGTCGAGGAGCGTTTGTGAATACAGGGCCTAGAGTGTACTGCAGGCAAGGGCTTCTCTGTTTTGCGCCCCACTAACACAAAAAAAAAAAGAAAATCAATTGACTCATTAAATCACAGCAGGGTAAATCACACCTGCT